TTCACGGATAATTTTCTAAATTTATGAGCCATAAAGTATACTCCAGGCGAAATCAATTAAGCAGTTTACCTTGAGTAATTATGAATTTACGTTCAAAAAAATAAAGGCGCTGCTCTGCTAAATGTTTGTAACCCAGTGGCTTGGTGGGTAGGGCTTTGGAGCTTGAAATGAAAGGTGTAGGGTTTGAGTCTCAGAACAGGAATACCATCACTCACTGGAAATGCAGGTACATTGAGATGACGAATCGCAAATAGGACGAAATACACACTCTCACTCCCTCTGCTAATCTCCATTAACCAAAGTAGCATTATGTTAATCTTCAAAAATCATCGAAGCATCCGTCCCAGAAGCCTACATGTCAACACAGGCTGAACGCTAAGGTCCAAAATATTTCGGTCCAATCAATGGTAAATTTAAATTAGCCTATAACAATCAATACTTGTTATTCTAGTTTAAGTTACATGGTAATTAGCTGGTACAGCTATCATCAAATCGAATTACACAAATCAAATATGTAAAACATTATTAGTTGCTTCTCATTATTCATTTCAATGAGTAGTCCGTTTGTATTGCTTCTCTAGATGATGCGCTTGATTACGCTTATAATTATATAATTATTTACGTATAACTCGCTATTTGATAAATACTTTTACTATAAAAAATTCCTCAGTAAGCTGTAATCAACGTGAAACATTAAATTATATATCTCTACATTAATTGATAACTTTGCTACGCCAAAAACAAGTGAATTAAAAGCTTCAAGAAGTGACTGCTATGTATACTATTCAATCTAGCATGACTTCTCATGTGTTTCTAATGAAAAACTTTAGAACTCAATAAAACCAATAGTAGATTTCAGAAATACACTGACATACAAATTATCGAAATACTTAGCTTTAATACTATGTCCCATTAGAAATCAGTCAAACACTAGGCTAACTAATTCATATGAAATGAAAAGGGAACTAAATGACATTCAATTAGAGAATAATGAAAGAAAATGGTTAGTTTTGATATAACTAGTCTTTACACTAACATACCAATCAATATGGCCTTAGAAGCAGTTAAAAGGGAACTAACTTCCGATCCCGAATGTACTCATAGGACGAAGCTACCCAATGAGATAATTATTTTAGGAATTCAGTTATGCTGTCTCACATCTACTGTCTTTAAATTCCAAGGCAAAATATATAGACAAACAGAAGGTGTTACAATGGGATGTATCACCAATATCCCCTATCATAGCAGATATATTTACGGACAGCTGGGAAAATATCACTCTTAATACATTTAATCCTACTCCAAAAATATGGTGGAAATATGTGAATGACACTTGAACAGTGTTAAAAATAGAACATATCTCTAGCTTCTTGACACATATAAACTCACTAGTAAAGGGAATAAAATTCACATTTGAATCGGAAAATGAACAAGGAGAATTAGATATGTTACATAAAACAAACTCATGCTAATAGATATTTAGACTTTAGTTCATCTCATCCGTTAAATGTTAAGGCAGGCTTAGTTAAGTGTCTAACAAACTGAGCAGTAGCACTAAGTAGTACAAGAAAATACCTAAATGATGAAGTAAAACAGATAGAAGAAGCGTTGGTGTTAAATAACTATCCTATAAAATTCATTAGGAAGATCAGAAAAGGCCAAAAGGAAAATAAAAATAATTAGGAAACTAATAATGATAACATAAATAGGAGAGAATATAAGGCATCTACAGTTATATCATATAAGGAGGGGACATGTGAGACCCTCCCTACGTAGGATTCTTAATAAATCAGGAGTTAGGGTGGCATTAAAACCTACAAGCTAATCAGACTGTCGGAACACAAGAATTTAGCTAAGGTTAGAATGATTGGTCTCACGAAGAAAAAAGTTCAGCAATCGCACTACACTAACACACAATCACACAATAGGGTGGGACAGAGTCAAAATTCTGGGAAGTAATATAAGTAGGTGGAGAGGGAAATTGATTACTGAATCCTGGTTTATCGAGTCTGCACCCTACACATGCAATAGAGATGACTCAGCGCAAATACCAGAGATATGGAAGATATTTTTGCCCGTCAAATCAGAGGATAATAAATAACGTTAAAATGTATTCAATTCAAATTATTACATTCTAAAAAGTTACTTATTTTTGCTGTTGATAACATCTTATTTCTCATCTGAGTATATTTGATTGATAGCACTAATATTATTTCTGAAAGTACATTATCTTATATTGATTTTATTCAAATGTCTAATCAAATTCACTCATGTATATAAATGAAACAAGAAAGTTGTGTGAGTGACTTGATATGATTATGAGCAACAATTTGTGCTCAAAACGTCATCAGTTAATATTACTGTGTAACACTGTGTAATTTATCAAAATAAAATCTTATCTATAATAGAGTTATACTGTACCACAGTGCCAAAGTTTTATACTTATACCTAAATAATTTAGTAGATATTTTTGTAACCGTTTGAAAATGCTCACTTACAACCCTACTAGAGATGTAATTGACGATCATTAAATTACACGGCTAGCTAAAGGCTTCTTTACTAGGACGAAATACTCCGCTCATGCTTTCTGATTTTCAAACGGTTCTTTAACTGACGCTGATTTCTGATGCGCAATTGTCGTAAAGAAGCATGATTTTTAATTTAGTAGCGTTGCATTTGTTTAGCTAGACGACAATTTTATCAAGAAGCTCTAACGGTTAATTCTAGAGAATTTCATTCTGAGAAACTTCATGAAATTATCATGCATCTTTTGTACCTCACATATGGGATGCTTTGTTTAACTAGTTAAATATAAAAACATACATTATCCACTGGTTTTTAAAATTTGTATATTGAAGAATATTTTAAAATTTGTATATTTGAAGTAACGTACAAGAAGTACTTAAGATATCAATAAGAAAGTATGGTCTGATCTAGTGCCCTCCACTATGATTGGCTATATTCGGTGCTTTATTATTACGACTATACACCTGGATCCAAAGTAGTCCTGTTATGTCCTCATCTCCTTCTGAGGTTAAAAGGTTTTTTTATTCCTTTACGTTCCCAGTGGAACATAGAGCTACTTCAAGCTAGAGGCTTGAAGTTTCGGTAGCAGTGGTGTTTAATTTTACGGGATGGGGTTTCTAGCCTCATGTCCAACCTTCCCGTTTTACCACTCCTATTACTGGCTTAGCGAGGTAAAGGAGTGCGTCGGCCGGGTATTGAACCCCGGACCACATGCGTGGTCGGTGAACATTCTACCGATGTGCCACTGACACACACGCGGTTAAAAATACGTGGTTTTTATATTAATCAAATAACTAACATGAAAGAATGGTCACTTTCTTTATCGTAATTTATGATATCAAACCGACCACACAATGTGATCTTAATTTATAAAGTTTCCCAATGAATCTGTGGTGAATTCTCACCTCGGAGTGCGTAAATTGCGAATTTAATTTTTGTGATAACACCAGCTAGCCCAATTAGCTAGCCACTGATAAGGTGATTTGAACTGATTCAGTTCTCTGAGCTGACTCGAACCGTGTACACCATTGTTCAGCTAGACTCAAACAAGTTGAATGACCGTCCATTGTTTAGATCCCTTTGGTCTGGCTTGCAAGCACTGCTGGTTGATATGGATGGCATGTAGCTACTCATCCCAACCAGTCAGCAGTACATAGTTTTATCAATACCTGATTTATTGTGAAAATCGAAGGATGGTTTCAAGTTGAACCGTGGACATATATTAGTTAGGGCACCCTTGAAAGTCACTGTGAAATACTGGACAGCTGTTTCGTTCTAGAATATAACACCACCATTAGCACACTGATAATCACGCCAAGGACCATCAAGTTGCGAAACAAAAGTGTTGATCAGTCAGCCACCGGGACGAAATCCAATGGGCTGTGAATTCTTATATCTGCCAACTTATAATAAATGGCGCCGCCATCTAGAAACATCTTCTGCTGAATGGTCGAGTGGTTCACCTCGTAACCTGAAGGTCCTGAGATTGATCCAGGGTAAAAATCGTTAAGGAAACCAAAGCTAGGATCACAGCTGTCCAGTACTCTCTGGTAATTTCTGGTGGTTCATTAACTGATATCAATCGATATTCAATAAACTCGACAAAGAGGTCAGTGTCTGCGTTTGCATCGTTGTAATTACCAAATACACAGTCAATAATAACTATTACATTATCATATTATTATTCCTTTGCGCTCAGAATGGAACAATGTGCCTCAACAGCACATCCCCACTACTTTCTCTTATTCTCTGCAGTCCTCTTTAGGTGATCTCACGGTTGAACACAGTCTCTCACCTCCTCCTCACGCACGATCCCCTCCATGTCACCTTTAGGCTCCCAAATTGTGGTGTCCCTTTAGGGTCTTACTCGACTATCTCCTCAGTGTGCTTTTTTATCCATCTTCATTTTCTTCAGCATAATTTTTGAGCAGAAAGCTCTTGGTTGTTTCTTTCCTTAGGTTTCTTGTTGCAAATCCCTTCTGACCATCTACTTTTCAATATGGGCCGACATCAGAGGTTGATAAAGTTTCACAATCTGTTGGAGACGCTTTTCCTGATGTGTGAGCCAAGTTTCTTATCCATATAGAAGTAGTGACTTAAAATTCTCGTTGAAAATCCGAATTTCTTTCTTTATTCTGTGGAGTGCAGATAGTTTGAAAACTGACTTCAGAGCGAAGAAATTCTGTCTTGCCTTTCCCATCTTGGTTTTAACATCCCTACCCTTCCTGTCTGCAGATGAAATGATACCTCTTTCAAATTTTCCCCGTTATTAGTGACTGCTGCTTGATGTTGTTGTTGTTGTTGGTTGATTGTCTTGATTACCTCCGTATTTTTATGTTCACTTGAAGTCCTGTCCTTGATGTATATCATAAAAATGCACAATTATATGAAATATTTGTTTGATTGTTTGTTTTTTCAACGTCTTTTGGCTTAATTTATTTAACTTTATTAATATTCTTCTGTCTTTCTACAAGAAAAATATGAATCATAAACAAAGGCATTACAATAACGAAGAGTTTGATCAATGTACAAATAATGCAAAAGACAGTTTACTTATGTCTGTGAAAGATGCACAAGCGAAAGCAACACAATCACAGATGAAGGAACAATCACTGCTAACGCCACCGACACCAATACCTCCACCAGCTCAATTACTATCATCATCAACAACGACGTTAACTGGAACAAATCTTGAACTGAACAATAAAAGAAAAGACTTGAAAACAAGAATCAGTGTTATACTTCATGCTAAATTATTTCATTTAATCATTGTAATATTATGTGCATTAGATGGTCTATTGGTGATATGCATGTTACTATTGGAGATTGAATCACTTAAATTAAAGGTAAGTAAATGGGGTTTGTTTGGTGGGGTGGAATTTTCAAGTTTCTGTTGTTATCCTCTTTCGATGGTTACTGATGTTGACACACCAGTAAATGTTTACTTTTACAAAATAATCTAGGCTAATAAACAAGGATTCATGCTTTGAGTTTTAACTAGCAGTAATGTTGTTTTCTTCATGGGGTAGGGTTGCTAACCTTCTTTCTTTTTCAGGTTTCCTGACGGCTAGTAAACTAGGTGCTGATTAAGAATGCGTCGGTTGGAAATTGAACTCGAACCACGTGTGCTATTGGCCAGCATCCTATAAATTTAGCCAGTTTCGCACCTAAATCAAATATCACTGAAAATAACTGTAAACAGCTTTCGGAATGATATTCAAATATTCGCTACTGATATCCTCATCTGCCAGGCTAGGGAAAGTACAACTTTTTATATCAATAGTTAAAAGGCTTGATTGATCATTGGGTTATTTAGTCTAGCTTTCCTTCAAGATAATCCTGCTACGGTTAAACCGAGAAACAGTCATGCCTACTGTTTTGTATATTACTCAATTTAGTCAGTAGAAGGGTTTTAGTGGTTCAGTGGTATAATTCATGCCAACGATATGCATAGTCTGGGTTCGATTCCTGGCTGATAAATTTCTAAACTGCCTAGTTTAAAAGTTGATAGTAGGCCCAGAAAAGAGGGATGGTTGGATGTAAATCTAGAAGTCTCACCTTGGAAAAAGCGACACCACTGCTGGAGAACTTTTTTATGACTGAAGCCTAATTTTGGACTGACTAGGGACGTGCCGAACTCCAGAGGGAGTACACAACCTAATTAGTTAATTTTCAATTCTTAGTGACAAATTCGCTTATAAATCGTGCTGTACGCAATAGATACTATGCAAATATCTTTGCATTATAATGCTCTGTTTTTTGGTTTCATAATTTATTGATTTCTATTTCCTGCACTTGTTATAGGACGGTTCGAACTGCAGTATATACGAAAATGCTTCTGAAAGATAAGTAACATTCTAAGTGCATAAGCAAACCACATAAGCGTGATGATAGATCTCTGTGTTGACACATACTTTTCTTTAAAAAAACACTGTTATCTGAAGCATTCAGCTGATGTGGATTAATTGGCTCGATTTAGAAATATTTAGAAAGGAATACAAAATCCCCTGGTTATCTAGGCATTCGTCATCTGATCATCTCATCTAAAGCAGAATCTATATTGATTTTAGATAAAGCAATAAAAAGGCATAATTTGTCTGAATCGTGTAATGTATTTGCGCAACACATTTCGAACAATCTGATCACACATGGACTTGTCATAGGAATATATATGAAATTAATAAAGAGGTAAGAGGTGAGAAAATAGAGTTAGGGTAAGTTTAAAGGACATATTGAAGGTGAAAATAACAATGAAGATCACTGAACCAAATAGCGGAGGTATTAGTACATCTGCTATGGTATCAAAACAAAATTTACTAAAGGAGGTTTAGTGTGATGACGAATTGTTTTTGAACGCATAGAGGTAGTTTAAACTTTCTAATTGCTAGGGCTTCCACAAACTTTAGTATACGACCTCTCCCAAACACGTTTTACAGATAGGTTTAAAAGATCTGTTAACGTCAATTTTATGTCCTGTCTCTATAATATGTTTCACAATAGAAGAGCTAGGTCTCCTGTTCTCATCATTAATAGGTTCTCAAGATTCCATTTGTTTCTGGAGCCATTTAGGAATATGCTCTGAAGCCCTTACTTGAAGAGATCGATGATTCCTCCCTATGATTTATCAAATAGACTTTAATATTATCGTCTAAGTTAAATTAACACTTTCTTTTGATTGCTTATGTCCCGTCAAAATGCTTAGTCACTGTTGACATGCTGACTCTTGGTAAGTAGGCCTCGACGATGTCTTAAGACTATTATGACTCTATCTCGGTTTTCGCTGACTAGCAGTAGAATCCAAGGTGAGCATCTCATTCTATTTGTGACTTGTCTGCTGGATACACCTGCAACCCAGTGAGGGATGGTGTTCCCACTGGGAACCAAAATCGTCACCACTTGTTTCAGACCTCAAGGCATTATCCATTAGGCTGCTGAATCACGAGAGAAACTCCTTATGCGATGGGTATCAGCTATAATTTGTCTGATTTAATTTTGTATTTGCGAAATGCTCACCCTGAATTCCACTGCTAGTTACCAAAAACCAAAATAGAGTTATGTTAGTCTTGAGACGTCTTCACAATATCTGTACTAGGACTCGATATTTTAAAAGAGAAGAGTATTTTGGTCCGACAATTTCATTCAATAGGAAATGCGAATTAATTGAAACAATAACACCTGATACCCGTTGCACAAGAAAAGGCTGTCGTGGTCTACTGACCAGGTGGATAACACTGGCGTTTGAAACAAGGAGTGCAGGATAAAAAGACTCTTAGTGGGAACAAAATCACCAACTTTGGTTTTGGTACACCTCTCTATCTCAACTTCATCGACTTTGAAAAGGCCTTCGATAGCGTCGATCGAGAGGTGCTTTGGCAACTACTTCGCTAATACGGGGTGCCACCGACAATTATACATCTCATCCAACAGCTGTACGATAATGCTGCATGCCAGGTAATCAAAAACGGGAAACTTACAGAACCCTTAGAAGTGAGGACAGGAGTAAGACAAGCTGGCTGCCTACTATCGCCAATGATTTTCCTGATTGCAGTAGACTGGATAATGTGACAAACAGTGGGCAATGAGGAAACAGGCATAAAATGGACTTACACAATATACTTGGAGGATCTGGACTTCGCCCATCATGATATATGTCTGATTTCCCACAAACTGGAAGATATGCAATTGAAAAGCAGCAAGTTGGCAGAAGAAGCATCAAAGATAGTATGGAGTTCAGGTGAAAATAGAGAAAACAGAGTTGATGAAGATTCCTGGACAAGAACAAAAACAACAGACAACGATCAGCATAAATGGGAAGAATCTAAAAGAAACAACCTCTTTTACCTACCTGGGAAGCATCGTCTCAACTAAAGGCAGACGGAACTGACGAGGATATCGAAGCAAGAATCGGAAAAGCGAGACAAGCTTTCACTATTCTCCAGTCTGTGTGGAGGTCAACAGCACTCAGCATCAAAAATAAGATCCGGATTTTCAACTCCAATGTAAAGTCAGTCAGTGCTACTATACGGATCAGAGACTTGGCGTGTCACAAAGAGCATCTCAAACAAACTACAGACCTTCATTAACAGTTGTCTTCGCTCACTACTCAAGACCAGACGGCCGGCCAGAAAAGATCAGCAACACAGATCTCTGGCAATGAGCGAACCAACCCAGCAGGAACCGATTGTGGAACAAATATGCAGGCAGAAATGGAGATGGATTGGCTGGCCATACTCTGAGGAAACCATCAAGTAACATCACTAGACAAGCCATTGCTCGAGTGGAACCCGGCCGAAAGGGAAGCGGCGAGTTGGTCGTCAGTGCAAGGGTGACTTGGAGGAGGTCATGTGAAGAGGAGATGAAAATGTGTGGGCAAACTAGGAGCCAGGTGAAGACTCTAGCAGAGATCCGAACGCAATGGAGACGTGCAGCTGAAGCCCTATGTTCCTCTAGGAATTAAAGTTAACAATTATAATAATAATAATAATAACACCCATCCAAAAAATCGCAAATAGGAAGAAATTCCCATCCTGGATTCCACTACTAACCGTCACCAACGAAAATAAGATTTCAGTATTTGTGATCAGCTTAGCATACAATTTAGCTTATTTTTGAACTTTTGATAATCCATTTAGTTAATGGCTAATTCCTTAGCTTCACTTGAAAGGAGAACAAATGAACTTCATTCACTGACCCAATGAGTCAATCAAGAGTCTTATTCATATATAGAAAAAACAACCGATTGAGCGAAGAAATATGTTACTTTTCAATCAGTTCCTCATCATTGGATCCACACTAATATATAGTATTTTTACATCAAAACTTTATTAATCAAGTAGTTATTTTGGTTAATGAGTTTTTGATGACCTTCAACCTATTAATTTCACCCTCCACCCTAACCTAAAACCGATTAACTAAAATAACCACTTGATTGGTAAAAATACTATATATTAGTGTAGAGCCAATGATGAGGAACTAATTGAAAAGGAATATATTTTTCTTCGCTCAATCTGTTGTGTTTTCTAAATGCATAAATAGGAATTTGGAAATTATTCATGTTTATTTTATGTTTCATAATTTTCGTTTTGCGTAATATTCTATAAAAATAATTTACTTAGCAAGGAAACAATGATAATAAGGCTACTTGAGGTCGCCTTTAGTTGGAAGACTGCTAATCAAAGCGACTGAAGTTGAATTGAAAATCTGGATCCCAGACGAATTCGAACCAATAGCCTATGAATTACCAGTCAACTGCTCATTCAGCAAAGTTAAGAGACTTAAATATTAAACACGCCATAACTAGTGGTGATTAGAGTGAAACGATGACCTAGTCAAATCTCGTAGCTCAGCTGGTACACTGACGAATTCTGCTGTGACTCAGATTTTCATTCCACCCCGTCCCATCATCACTCAACAACGTCAATGACAGTTAGCTAACTTAAGGTTATCTCAGGTAATTTCACTACAGACAGAAATATGTTTGATAAGATAGAAAAGAGTGTGGTAATAAAAAGAAGGTATTCAAATGAACATTATCTTGAATAACCATCACTGATGACATTCCTAATTGTGATAGACTGGTTTATGCATCAGACTGTGAGAAACGTGAAGATAGGAACGCGTTGAACCAATAAGAAGATTTTAGAGCATCTGGACTTCGTGGACTATATATGTATAACGTCACACAAACGCGAAGAATTACAGACGAAAACCAGCAAACTGGTAGAAGAAACAAGACCTGAAATGAACGTAGAGGAGACAAGAGATAATGAAAATAACCAACCAACGACAGCAAACACCAGTCACTACCAATGACAGAAATCTGAAAGACGTCACTTTCTTTGCTTGC